CTCTGGACGACTTAAGCGAACACGAATAACAGACGCGATCTTTCGCGCCTCTGCGTCACAACGTGCCCACGGAGCGGACCATGCTCCCAAGCACTACAACGATCAAAATCTAAATTTTCCAGAGCTAAATCATTTGCAGACGACTTGAATAAAGAACAGGGGTAATGTAAGCAGTAGAAAGTAGCCTTGTTGCTATGATCTGCTGAGATTAAACCCTTTTTCTGCGATTTGTTTTTTTTTCCAAAACTCGAACATCCTCGGCGAAGTCGACCTAAGAGCAGAACAAGTCCTGGTCTCTTGAACATGTCCGCAGAAGAGGCCAACATCTCGAGGTCGATCGAACATGTTCGGCAGAAGAGGCCAACAAGTCGTAGTCTCTCTAACATGAACGGCAGAAAAGGGGAACAACTCGAGATCTTCTCTAACATGTTCGGGTAAGTAGCGATTTCGACCCCGACCAAGAAGGGAAAAACTCGAGGTCTTTCGAACAAGTTCGAAAAAGTCTCGATTTCGACCAGCACTAAGACGGGTGAAAATCGAATTCTCCCGAACATGTCCAAAAAAGTCCCGGTTTGGACCCGCAGTAGTTGGGAAAAAAGTCGAGGTCTCTCGAACATGTTCGAAAAAAGGTTGTGATTTCGCTGTGGTCGATTCGAGCGAAATGGCGATGTCGCTGAAGTTAGCTTGCACGGGTCATGACCAAGGAGGATGTTTGGGAAGATGGAGTCCGGTTTGTGAAACATTGTCAACATCGACCTTCCAGGAGGATGTTGCGGCGAACGGTTCTCCGGTTAATATTTTTATTATATGAGGGGCATGTGCTCTGTGAATGAGTGCGAGTGCGAAATCAACATTGCTCGTTGTGGTGAGGAAGTCAAATGCGTCCAATCGTATGGCTGGCTTTCTTTCCACCTTCGGGTAAAAAGGCGTTGCGTTAATCGATGTTTTGCTTCATCGTACCATCTAGTAGCTGGTTCCCTCCGAAGTTTTCAGGAAAGATGGAGTTCATACATGCAGTTTTATCAGGTAAAGCGGATGGACTTAGTAGAAGGACCTTAACCTATTAAACTTTGGTAAGTCCCACTCGCTCGATTGAAGCCGGACGCTCGAATGCAAGCTCTTAGTGGGCCATTTTTAGTATGCAGCACTGGTGTTGCGGAATAAACTGAACGCCGAGTTAACGAAATGTGTTAGTTGATATTGACATGAGATTTTCATGCAATTTGCCTGAAAAGACAATGGTGCGAAGCTACTATCTGTTGGATTATGATTGAACACCTCTAAATCAGAATTCGTGCTAGAACGCAACGATTCCTTTTCTCTGGACGACTTAAGCGAACACGAATAACAGACGCGATCTTTCGCGCCTCTGCGTCACAACGTGCCCACGGAGCGGACCATGCTCCCAAGCACTACAACGATCAAAATCTAAATTTTCCAGAGCTAAATCATTTGCAGACGACTTGAATAAAGAACAGGGGTAATGTAAGCAGTAGAAAGTAGCCTTGTTGCTATGATCTGCTGAGATTAAACCTTTTTCTGCGATTTGTTTTTTTTTCCAAAACTCGAACATCCTCGGCGAAGTCGACCTAAGAGCAGAACAAGTCCTGGTCTCTTGAACATGTCCGCAGAAGAGGCCAACATCTCGAGGTCGATCGAACATGTTCGGCAGAAGAGGCCAACAAGTCGTAGTCTCTCTAACATGAACGGCAGAAAAGGGGAACAACTCGAGATCTTCTCTAACATGTTCGGGTAAGTAGCGATTTCGACCCCGACCAAGAAGGGAAAAACTCGAGGTCTTTCGAACAAGTTCGAAAAAGTCTCGATTTCGACCAGCACTAAGACGGGTGAAAATCGAATTCTCCCGAACATGTCCAAAAAAGTCCCGGTTTGGACCCGCAGTAGTTGGGAAAAAAGTCGAGGTCTCTCGAACATGTTCGAAAAAAGGTTGTGATTTCGCTGTGGTCGATTCGAGCGAAATGGCGATGTCGCTGAAGTTAGCTTGCACGGGTCATGACCAAGGAGGATGTTTGGGAAGATGGAGTACGGTTTGTGAAACATTGTCAACATCGACCTTCCAGGAGGATGTTGCGGCGAACGGTTCTCCGGTTAATATTTCTACTATATATGAGGGGCATGTGCTCTGTGAATGAGTGCGAGTGCGAAATCAACATTGCTCGTTGTGGTGAGGAAGTCAAATGCGTCCAATCGTATAGCTGGCTTTCTTTCCACCTTCGGGTAAAAAGGCGTTGCGTTAATCGATGTTTTGCTTCATCGTACCATCTAGTAGCTGGTTCCCTCCGAAGTTTCTATCAGGAAAGATGGAGTTCATACATGCAGTTTTATCAGGTAAAGCGGATGATTAAAAGGTCTTAGGGTAGAAGGACCTTAACCTATTCTCAAACTTTAAAATGGTAAGAAGTCCCACTCGCTCGATTAAAGCCGGACGCTCGAATGCAAGCTCTTAGTGGGCCATTTTTAGTATGCAGAGCTGGTGTTGCGGAATAAACTGAACGCCGAGTTAACGAAATGTGTTAGTTAATATTGACATGAGATTTTCATGCAATTTGCCTGAAAAGACAATGGTGCGAAGCTACTATCTGTTGGATTATGATTGAACACCTCTAAATCAGAATTCGTGCTAGAACGCAACGATTCCTTTTCTCTGGATGACTTCAGCGAACACGAATAACAGACGCGATCTTTCGCGCCTTCTGCGTCACAACGTGCCCACGGAGCGGACCATGCTCCCAACCACTACAACGATCAAAATCTAAATTTTCTAGAGCTAAATCATTTGCAGACGACTTGAATAAAGAACAGGGGTAATGTAAGCAGTAGAAAGTAGCCTTGTTGCTATGATCTGCTGAGATTAAACCCTTTTTCTGCGATTTGTTTTTTTTTCCAAAACTCGAACATCCTCGGCGAAGTCGACCTAAGAGCAGAACAAGTCCTGGTCTCTTGAACATGTCCGCAGAAGAGGCCAACATCTCGAGGTCGATGGAACATGTTCGGCAGAAGAGGCCAACAAGTCGTAGTCTCTCTAACATGAACGGCAGAAAAGGGGAACAACTCGAGATCTTCTCTAACATGTTCGGGTAAGTAGCGATTTCGACCCCGACCAAGAAGGGAAAAACTCGAGGTCTTTCGAACAAGTTCGAAAAAGTCTCGATTTCGACCAGCACTAAGACGGGTGAAAATCGAATTCTTCCGAACATGTCCAAAAAAGTCCCGGTTTGGACCCGCAGTAGTTGGGAAAAAAGTCGAGGTCTCTCGAACATGTTCGAAAAAAGGTTGTGATTTCGCTGTGGTCGATTCGAGCGAAATGGCGATGTCGCTGAAGTTAGCTTGCACGGGTCATGACCAAGGAGGATGTTTGGGAAGATGGAGTCCGGTTTGTGAAACATTGTCAACATCGACCTTCCAGGAGGATGTTGCGGCGAACGGTTCTCCGGTTAACATTTTTACTATATATGAGGGGCATGTGCTCTGTGAATGAGTGCGAGTGCGAAATCAACATTGCTCGTTGTGGTGAGGAAGTCAAATGCGTCCAATCGTATGGCTGGCTTTCTTTCCACCTTCGGGTAAAAAGGCGTTGCGTTAATCGAAGTTTTGCTTCAAAGTTGGCTATATAAGAGGGGTGTATGTGCTCTGTGAATTAGTACGAGGGCGAAACGAACATCGCTCGTCGTGGTGGGGAAGTCGGTTGCGTCCGATCGTATGCTGCATTTCTTTCCACTTTCGGGTGAAAAAGCGTTGTTTTTATCGAAGTTTGTGTTCGAGGTTGGGCTATAACTGAGGAGCATGTACTCCGTGAATTAGTACAAGTGCGAAACGAACGTTGCTTGTTGTGGTTGGGAAGTCAGCTGCGTATAATTGTATGCTTAGCTTTCCTGCCGCCTTCAGGCGAAGAAGTGTTGCATTCATCAGGCCGCATTCTGCCATTCTGGCCGAATGCATTCATCAGGTTGCATTCAAGTGCCATCTGGCTGGAGGAAGGTAGGTGTATTTATTTGTTTATATATTTCCCTCTGAATAGGAATGCACTCTACCCCGTTTCCGGTCAGCATGTACTAATTGTGTAAATTTTTTCTCTAGGGCTACTAAAGTTATTCTTTCCCTTTCAGAACAAAGATGACCGATTTTAGTGTGATTCTAGGCCCAGCCCCTGCCCTGCACTGAGGCCAACCCCTTCCTTAGACCCTATGCCTAAATTTTTCCCATGCCAATTGTAAATACTATTTTTTTAAGCTCTCGTTTCAGATAAAAGGTTCGTTGCGTTTTTTTTTGGGTTGTCTTGTGTTGTCCTGTAACATTCTAATGCGTCCACACATTTACGGCTTCCCCACTGGGGCTTGGGTTCGACTCCCAAGAATGTGACAATTTAGCCTTAAATCCTGGTTGTATACTGGTCGTATATTGCTTTTCCTGCCCCTTTTGGGCGAGAAAGCGTTGCGTTTATCGAAGCTTTGCTTCGAAGTTGGTTATATATGAATGAGGGGCATGTGCTCCGTGAATGAGTGCATGTGCGAAACGAACAACGCCAATCGTGGGGAAGAAGTCGGCTGCATCTGATCGTATTCTGGCATTCGTACGCCTTCGGGTGAAAAGGCGTTGCGTTAATCGATGTTTTGCTTCGAAGTTGCCTATAAATTATGAGAGGCCTTTGCTCCGTGAATTAGTACGAGAGCGAAACGAACGTCGCCTTGTCGTGGTGGGGAAGTCAGCTGCGTCCGATCGTATGCCACCTTTCTTTCCGCCTTCGAGTGAAAAGGCGTTGCGTTAAGCGATGTTTTGCTTCATCGTACCATCTAGTAGCTGGTTCCCTCCGAAATTTTCCTCAGGATAGCTGGAGTTCATACATGCAGTTTTATTCAGGTAAAGCAAAAAATCGAGGTCTCTCGAGCATGTTCGAAAAAGTTGCATAATTTCCTATTCTACTTTTTTGAACACAACACGTCGAATTTTCACTCTGTGTTTTTATACTCTTTTAGGTATATAACTTTTAACGGTGGATCTCTTGGCTCGTGCATCGATGAAGAACGCAGCGAGCTGCAATAGCTACGGAAGTGTTAATTTTAGAATTGAGTGAATCATCGAATCTTTGAACGCAAATGGCGCTCTCGGTTATACCGGGAGCATATCTGCCTGAGTGTTGGTTATTTAAAGGTCAAGTGGGTCTCGACTCGACTGGGGCGTCGTGCTGTAGCTCGAAGAGGCGTGTTTCTCGAAGAGCAGCACACGTCGCCGTCGCGACGTTTAACAACCTGCGAACGAAGCCTAAACTATTGCATAGGAAAGGAGCTCTTCGTTCTGCGCGTGCCAGCCGTCCTGACGCGCACAACGTATTCCATTCATTCATTAACCTCAGATCAGGCAAGATTACCCGCTGAATTTAAGCATATTTACAAAGCGGAGGAAAAGAAACTAACAAGGATTCCCCACGTAATGGCAAATGAAGAGGGATTAGCTCAACATGAAAATCTCCCTTGTGTTGCAACGGCGACTTTGAATTGTAGTTTCGAGAAGTACTTTCCCTTCCTGCACATGACAATAATCGGCCGAATAGCTAATTGCGATATTGTGTCTAAGACATGGTGAGATATGCAAAATGAGATAACGTTGAGACGCCATCAACAAATATGAAGCCTTATGAGGATAAACACCAATTAATCATTGGCTAACTATCAGTTTGAACTAGATATCAAAAGGTTGAGTGTATTCCCTCACAGGTTATATCATCATCAAATGCATTTTTATATCTGATGCAGTAAGGGTTTGTAACGCGAACATATTCAGATCGTTTCAATGGACCACTTGCATAATAGACCAACTTTTGATTCAGGTGACAAAAAGGGAATTTCCTAAAAGAGCATACAAAACTTAGTAAAATTGCCAAGTTTCGCTGTGAAATATTGTAAAGTGCCCCAGATATAGCCATGCGAAGTTAGCGAATTTTGTATACTTTTGTATTACGGCCGGACGCGTGTAACTAAATTAGTTACACGCTTCCAGCCGTAGTAAAAAAGTATACAAAATTGGCAACTTCGCATGGCTATATCTTCCGTACTACTTTACATTTTGCAACCAAACTTGGCAATTTTACTAATTTTGGTATGTTCTTTTTAGCTGTTGTGATATATTTCCTGCTTGTCACCTAGATCTGAAGTTGGTCTATTATGTAAGTGGTCCATTGCCCATTCAATAATTCGAAACACGATTTTGAGACTTTCCATTCCCTGCTTCACCAGTTTAATAGAAAAAACTTTCTCCACTCAAGTGGTACAACAGGAATTTGGGTCAATTGTTGTACATTTTCAGCCAATATACAATCATGGTCTTTCTGTTGTAAAAAGAAATCTGAGTATTCAAGTATATTGCGATTGCTCATAGCACAATTAATTTCGGTTTTCATCAGGTTTGTGTGTCATTGGTGTTGCAAAATTTTGCAGAAAATTGCGGTTTTTCAATACTTCTTTGTGTCCGGCCATAGGTTTAGTCTCTGTTACCAGGTTTTTCAAAATGGATTTTGCAGCAATAATGAGATCTACATATTCGGAAGTACGATTACATTATGTCATCCGCCCTGTAATATCCGTCCCCGAGGACGGGTGAATTCAAAATTTAAAAACTTGGGCAAAACGAATACTTGGGACATGATTCAAATCATAAAGATGCATTTTGGAAAGTATGATGCAATGTCTTATCTTTGTAGTGTTGTATCTTCGTTTCTTTTCAGCCAAAAGCGACGGTTCGCCAACCATTTTGTTTATAAAATCCTGCTCTATGGTCGGCACTAGATCATAGACAACATATACACATATCTGAAACTGCTATATATTACGGTCAGCGATGTTGCACTTGCTCAATACTTAATATAAATGTGGTCTTATTATACTTAAAAATTAAAATACTTTGTAAACGCTTTCAATTCATACAACTCAGGACGATACAATTTGACTGTAATGACTGACTCACAATTTAATAATGAGTATTACAAAATGAATTGCCCAAGTCAATCACAGAGATAGATTTCTCAAGCAACCTTTACTTTTCAACAAAATCCATTTCTTTTCCATTTCTCAACAAAAATCGCAAAGGGAAGGTGAAGTTTGCTGAAAGGGGGCCAATTTCCTAAGAATTTTATGTCCCCCCCCCCCCCCTGGAAGGGTGATATTACTAGGGGGGGGGCAATATAATATATATATATATATATATATTATATATAATATATATATATATATATATATATATATATATATATATATATATATATATATATATATATATATATTATATACCCTCCATATATGATATATCAACCTATGAAAGAATGCTTAAAAACTTATTTAACCCATTAATTAACCAGCAGTACTCTACCACTGATAAGTAGAATCGTCTGGCGTTTATAGATTGAGTAAATTCTAAAGCAGGCTGCATTTCCCACCAACGGGTTTAGCTCTGGCCTTGTAATCAGAAGAATATGCAACTTTATGGTATTAACAATGCACTCAAATGTACTGTTTATATACAGGTTTATATACTGTTTTTTATATTCAGCTATTTCAATTAAGGTTCCAGTGGGACATTAGATGAATGGTTGAAACTTGAAGGAAATTTTCACCAACTAAGTCACAGAATGATCCACCAACTATGTCACAGAATGATTTATCGATATCTTTTGCAGGGTATAATATTTTGCTTTCCTTCGAACCAATTTTGAATTTTTCAATTTTCGCGCGCTATTTTATTATGAAATCAAATTAAGGCAACCGCTGACCAATATATATAGCAGTTTCAGATATGTGCATATGTTGTCTATGATCTAGTGCCGACCCTGCTCTATTTTTGTACTAAATATCATACGCGAGAAGTACATATTTTTCCTTAAATGTGGGAATTTGCGCAAACACTCGGTCGGGCGGAAATCTCCTTCGGGCGTCTTTCGGGCGTCTTTCGGGCTGTATGTTTTGATATGTGTATCCTAGGAAACCAGATGCCCCGGAAATCGATTTTACCGGTAAAAATCATTCAGACGATGTATTTTAGTTGATTTTCAGCCAAACGTGTGGCTGTCCTTCGCAATTTTTAAGGATGCGGTCGCATGTAAGTTTGGGATTAAGTTCAATCCGGACGGGGATAGTTATGAATTGCAAAAACAAAAATACATCAGATGAAATATGATACTTTAAGCTTTCTTGCTAAGATAACCTTGCGTAAACATAACGTCTGGAAAATGGTAGACCCTCGAGTCCGTACAACAGCACATTGCAAATTAGCAAAATTGCTCGGGGAGAATTTTGTTAATCCACATCGTCATGAAAAGGAGTTGCATATCGGATAGAAACTAGGGTGGTGTTCCCTATTTGTATTGTTTAGGTATAACACAAGCAAGATTAGGAATTTGCCAAGGTATATGAGCTCTTATAAGTTTATGTTTGCATCTTCTTTACATTTTTCAACCATATAGAGAGTGAAAAGCTGCGCGTGGAAGAACAAGGCACTCATCTTGGTTTCGCTTCCTTCTCAAGCGACAACCGAACTAGAGAATTATTGGAGGTTGGCGAAATTAAGAACAAAACATTGTTGATGCGGTGGCTGGATAGAATTGACTTTAAAAATAATACGAGCGGCAATACGGTGTTAAAATGTATGGGGAAAAATGTAAGTAGCCCTAAAATGTTTTACCGATGTAATTCTCAATCTATTTTACTAGGAACAATTGTGATAAAAATGTACTTGGAATCATCTCAAGATACAAGATAAAATATTTATTGAAAGTTTAAAAAGATGATGTTTTGACGCTAACACACGCCATTACCAAGTCACTAAGAAAATAAACGTTCTACAGGGTGTCCCAAATAAACGAAAACTATTGAAATCAGTCATTGTTAAAATTTGAATGCCGTGTTCACGAATTTCAGCTCGTGGGGATTTAATGCAACTAATAAAATGCCAAATGCTTTGTGTTGCTAAAAAAATGGGACATGTCGAAGGTCATGGTCCTTGAGATATATATTTAAATAATGTTATCCATATTTGTAATTTGTAAATATTGTTAGTAAATATCATATTTGCGAACAAGCAAATTTTACTGCATCATATGCATGCATAAAAATGAGTATAGTAAACATTCATACACCTGTGGGTCCCTACAGAGTGCTTAAGCATTCAAACTCTAACAATTGATCTAATTGAACACTCTGCCTATTGAACGTAAGGGTAAGTTTCTTGATGAAAAGCATCTCATTAACCAAGCAGTCAAACTTGCTCTTACACTTTCGCAACACACGAAATTGGTCTTCATTTAACAAAGTCTTATTACCATGACTGTCAGCCAGATGTTTACCAATTGCAGAATACTTATGCTCAGCAACGCCTTGAAGAAGGTGCCGAGTTGTACACCCGACATAGTCTGCATCGCACCGACCACATTGAAAAAGATAAACAACGCATTGCTTGTTGACAACAGGTGGCTTTGTTTCTCCCGGCTTTAAATCTTGTTGAAGCTTTGGTGTTCAGTGTTTTTGATGAAGCACTGCTATTCCAGTGCATTAAGTGAAGACCAAATTCGTGTGCTGCGAAAGTGTAAGAGCAAGTTTGACTGCTTGGTTAATGAGATGCTGTTCATCAAGAAACTTACCCCTACGTTGAATACGCAGAGTGATTCAATTATAGAGCAAAACTATTTGTTCCTTGACCTGATAGGCCGTATTCTGTGGCCGAAAAGTCACTTAGAAAACGATTTTCGTTGCCCCCCTTCAGGCACTACTTGAAAACACGATAGAAAATTAGGACAAATTATAGAAAGTCCAAATTCACTTGTTTTCACCTCCACAAACCTGCAGTTTTCCAGCATTTCATCTTCGAAAAATCAGTGAGTTTGCATGTCTCGCAATACATCGAAGCCATTTTGATTCAGGAAGTGTCTTGGATACTTGGTGTAATATACGACATATATAGCAGATTCAGCAGTTTTATTTGTAAACATGGCGTCTTCCGACTCATGTTTAATTCATTTTGACGGAAAAAAGGCCCACTAACGACTTTTAGTGATGTGTCTTTTCAAAAATTTTTGGATTGTTGTAGTATTTGGCTAACGCTAGATGGAGAACATCGTGATGTTGCACGGAGAAGTTTGGATCTTGTCAGCGAAAACGTGAAAAATGTTAAAACTGACGGTATCGAATATGCAAATTTCTCGTATCACAGAGCTTGTTATTCGGCATTGACAAATAATGTTCACATCAAACGAGCTCAAGTGCGGTGTCAGGATGAAAAAAAAGAACGTAAAGCAGTTGAACTCTCATCTTCTGTTGGTGAAATTGACGAAACAGAACCAGAAGAAGTTCAACCTTCGAAAAAGATGCTGCGGTCTAATCTGGGTTCCGCCTCAACGAGTTCGGCAGTAAGATCAAGGAATCCGCACGTGTTGCTGCACATTTGTATTATTTGCAAGAGAGAAAAGTCTTACTTCACTGAATCGGTAAGTCTGTTTAAAAGGGGTTTTTCTTACTCTCTAAAGTTTTGTATTTATCTTTTTAATAAAATTTGTTGTAGATCATAAATTGTCATGCGTTCATGTTTCGACGATTATATAATTTTTAAGAATAGCTCGTTACATGTCTATATTTAAAAATCGAAAAAAATCAAGTTGGACAAATTGGTATCAGCAGAAACGGTTGATGGGGGGAAATTCAAGGAAGCTGCAACAAGGAAAAATGATGAAAGTGTTTTAATACAAATTGCTAATAAGGACATGGTAGCTTTGGAAGTGAAATACCATAAACGTTGCTATGAAAAGTATACATCATTTCTGACAGTCAAATGAGAAAGAAACAGAAAAACATGAATGCAAATATGAGAAGTCCTTTGATGTTTTCTGTATGGAGTTTGTGAATGCAAGAATTATTAGACAAGATAATATATTCTACATGAAGAAACTGACGAAAGAGTTCATCAAGACTGTGCGACGCGTTGAAAAAGAGGATGCCTCGAGTTATAGATCCTTCCGACTGAAGAAGCGCTTGCGTAAAAGGTTTCCACAACTTGTATTTCATAGACCAAAGGTTCGATCTAAGAGTGAGATTGTTTATGCAGAATGTCTTAGTCAAGCAAGTGTAGCAGAAAGTTTCATGGGCAATAATGAAGAAACATCTCAGAGCTCACAAGAGTCAGATTCTTTTGAAATTGATGGTGAAGGATATGCAAATATGCATGATAGGAGAGCAACACTGAAAGAATTGTATACAGTAGGCATGACATTAAAGAGTGAGTTGCAAGACTAAGCATCCACTTGGTATGAAAACTGGCCACCACTTGCATCGGATATTACTGCTGAAAATGTTCGAAAAGTGGCAAAACCTTGCTTGTTTAATTTTATGACATGGCTGCTAGGGTTTTCAGATGACCCAGAGGATACTGATTACATTGAATTCGAAGAGAAAACAACAGCAAAGGTTTTTTCTCTATGCCAAGACTTAGTGTATGTTGCTAATAAAGGGAAAGTACAGACACCAAAATCCCTAGCATTGGCAATAGCTGTTCGGCAAATATTTGGCTGTTCTGGCTTATTAATATTTTAAATGGTTTTGGACATTGTGTATCACTATCATCAACCATGGCCTATGACTCTGCAATTGCTCAAACAACAATTAACACATCAAACATTCTTCAAAGGGAATTTGTTGCAACCGAGTATGTCAACTTGGTTTACGACAACATAGATTTTGGAGAGGAGATTGAAAAGCAGACTCATGTAACCAATGGTATCATTACACAAAGAGTCTCAGTTCAAACACCATTGAATTCATCAGAACACCCATCAACTGCTATTAAAAAGACACAACGCACAGTAAAAATGCCTTCAACTGACATTGTGCCTTACAGTATAGGAGTAAAGATGACACCAGAATTTCAAACTGTTGAACTGGATCCTGAATATCTAGAACTTTTGTTCAAAGAAGATCCCGCGATTAATGCTTATAAACTGGACTTAGCATATATTTTAGTAAAGTATATATGTTCTTCAGATGAGGAAGTATTGCCAGGATGGACTGGATTTAACACCATGCTTTGTAGTAATGAAACACCTGATGTATCCAGAGTTGGATATTTACCAGTCATTGATGGATCCCCAACAGAATATTCAACCATCAACACAATCCTCACACGGAGTACTGAGATTGCAGATAAATTAGAGCTGAGATATGCTGTGTTAGTTTTCGATGAAGCTGTTTATGCTAAAGTACAACATGTTCGCTGGAAAGAAGAGACATTCTTAAATCGGTTTGTTGTTAGCCTTAGTGAGTTTCACACCATCATGTGTTACCTTTCTGCCATGTCAAAGATCTTTGAAGATGGAGGCTTAAAGGTAAGGACTCATTTTTTTGCATTAGTTTTGTATCATGCATCAACCTCATGTCCAGTGTATTTGTTCTTAAGGAGCAAAATACCAATCCCAACCTCACTTTGAATAAATGAATAGCATAATTTCTCAATTGCCATTAACTGATGATAATAGATTCTTGTGTTAGGTGCTGTACAAGGCCAAATGATCATATTAAACATATTAGGTGCATTTAAAATGATGAGAACTTAGAAGAGGCAAAAATAGAAAACTAGTAAAAGTTTCACTTTTCATTCTATTTCTATATACAGTATAGTCTTAAGTTTATTTTTGTTCTACTTGCAGGATGCATTTATTGAATCTGGTATTGTGAGTGAAGGATCAATCAAAGGTATTCTCTCTGGCAAGCATTACAACCGGGCTGTGTCATGTCACAAGATTATGTATGAAGCACTTCAACGTCTAAGGTTTCAAGCTTTTCTGGATTCCATGACGGAAAAAGACCATGCAGGACGATATTTCTTCATTCATTGAGAGTATGGCAAATTCATTTCCACACGACAAGTTCCTTACTGATGGCATTGAAAATCCAAAGATGCTGCAAATATTACAAGCATGTGAGTGGTTCATTAACGATATGTGTAGTAAATCTAGAACATTTTCATTTTGGAGCATGTATATCAAGATGGCAGGTAATTGTATTATACAATGTTCCATTAATATTGTTGCAGTTCGTTCTTCGTAATAAAATAGAGTATTTTTTTACACATACAGGTGTACTACTGATGTTTATTAGAGCAACAAGAGAAGTAAATTGGGATCTCCACTTAGCAGCTTTCAGAGCTATGCTTCCATGGTTTTTTATTTGTGATAGAGTCAATTATTCCAAATATGGCTCGGCATATATGCTAGAGATGACCGCATTGGAAAGTACGCACCCAGGTACAGTATATAGTTTTATTCATGTTGAAGCAGGATTGTTCGAACAGAGAGGAAGATTATTCTACTTACAACATACCACGTGCAAAGAGCTCACCAGTAAATAATATTATTTGGATAATATTATACTGTAACCAAAGAAATCTCCTATATATTTTTCACTGTGTAGGAATTCATGAAGAAATCTCTAAGAACTTTGCTGTTCAGCGTCAAAGCAGACACGGTTTCTCTGCAGTTGCATGTGACCAGACAATAGAGCAGACTACAAACAGGGATTCTAAAACGAAAGGTGGTTTGATTGGGTTTTCAATGAATCGTTCAACTGTTCATAGATGGCTACTCTCGCAATCAGAAAGAGCTTCAATAACAAACAAGTGCAAAGATATGGCTGGAAATAGTTGTATACCAAGGTAATTTTATAAATTGGGCCGTTGTGCATTCTGCTGTTCATCATTATGTATCATATGCATTCAACTTTTTTAAATTTTATATTCAGAAATCGCAAAGATCTTGATCATACAAAGTGCAAGCGCCATGAGAAATCTGTCAATGATGTGATGAGTACAATTTCGAGTATTATAAACCCATTTGAAACAGAGCAACAGGAGCTAATAAGTTTTGGCAAGTGGTGTAATGGTTGGAAATGATGTTGCGGATACTCTTCTGAACGCAGAGAACATTGGGGAGCAACAGTTTTTGGAATTTACGAAAACGAATTTGTTGAGCGAAGACCCTGACATCTTTACGAAGTTGAAAAAGAACAAACTTCAGACATTTTCCTCAACAAAATCCGTATATTTGAACAACAAAGAAGGAAAGAAGGTGAACATCATGTTAAACAGAAACTTGTTTGCTCGATTATTGGTCATTGCTAAGAGTCGGCATGTCGATCTAAATGAATTGCTCTCGTACAGCCTTGGTACATATCCTCTTTCGTTGTCTACGGCAACTGGAAGACTTGTGAAAACTGCCTAGTCTAAACTTGCTGAAGTATTGGAAAATGAATCTGGAAATCCAGAAGTCAATGTTTGTGCATTTAACAACAATGCACTGATTGTAGATGCTATGGCAGTTATTCAGGCGATGAAAGGAAAATGGAAAACATTTGGCGAATTTGCAGATGCTCTTTTAAACAACCTCATAATGCTAGCACGAAAGTATAATTCCAAACGATTAGATTTCGTTGCAGACAGGTATCCTCTGTTGAGTATAAAGAATGCTGAGAGACAACGAAGAGCTGAAAAAGGAGTCCAGAAAGTTCACATCTTTTGAAAAGATCAGAGTGTTCCAAAACAGTGGGAAAAGTTTTTAAGTTGCGGTGAAAACAAGGAATCCCTCATATCTTTCTTATGTGAACACTGGAGGTCATGTAACTCCTCTCGGTGGTGCTCCATTTCAACTATGTACGTAACTGCTGAAGAAAGATGCTATGTTTTAAATCCCGGTGATTCCCCGAACGATCGTGTTACCAGTAATGAGGTGGCTTCGCTTCATAGCAACCACGAAGAAGCAGACACTCGTTTAATTCTACATGCTAACCACGCAGCAGCAACGTACGATAAAGTTATTATCAACAGCTCTGACACAGATGTTCTTATACTTGCGATTGCCATGCAACAACAGATACAGAAAGAGATTTTCTTTTTGACTGGCACGGGAGATAGACGTCGTTGCGTATCTGTAGCAATTATCTCGAAATTCTTGGGCGTGGATGTTGCTCTTTGTTTACCAGGCTTTCATTAGAAAATATATTTTTTTTCCCGCTTAACGCTTAGGTTGTGACTGTACGAGCTCTTTTCACGGAAAGGGGAAAAAACTGCGTGGAAAACATTGGCTGAATTGCCTGAGTTTGTTGAGTGCTTTTCAATGCTTGGAAGAAACTTCCCTCCTTCAGAAGATCTTGTCAATGAGCTGAACAAATTTACTTGTTTATTGTATGGAGACAAAGCCTCAACAAGTGTGGATGACTCTAGATATGCCTTTTTTAAGGCAGGAAAATGTTCCGATGACGTCTTGCCTCCAACTTGCGATAGCCTTGTCCAACATATATATAGAGCAAATTTTCAAGCAGCATCATGGTATCAGTGTTTAAGGGCAGAAGTCGATCTTCCATCACCTGCTGGCAATGGCTGGACGCTTGACGATAAAGAGCTGGAGATAACTTGGATGACACGCCCACCCGCTCCGCGATCTTTAATTGAGTGTGTTGAGTGTAAATGCAAGACTGGGTGCTCGACCATGCGTTGTTCCTGCAAAAAGGCTGACTTAATGTGCACCGACCTATGTTCGTGTGGTGATTGCCAGAATGCAGTTGTTGAAGATGGTAATGACGATGATAGCAGTTATGGCCTGGCTCAATCTGATGACGATGATGAACTGGATCTGGATTTCGGAGATGGCGAAGATGATGAGTTGTGGCATTAGCTGTCCAATTGAAAGAGTTAAGTTGAACATTTTATTTGTGTCCTAAACTTTTAAGGTGCTCGTAATTCTCCAACAATTTAGGGCATGGGATAGCAGGCAAGGGTCACGTAATCTCGCAAGAAATATCGAAGTTTTTATTGTTAAATGTACATATATTGATATTTGGTTGACATTGATTTAAGATATGCAGTATGTTGTTTCTGTATTACATAGTTTTAACTAGCAAGTTAGTTTATTATAAAGGAGAGGAGTAGCATCAGTGTATAGGATTAGTAAGGCTGTAGGATAATGCGTTCTTTCATTATTTGTAAAATTCCAGGCCTTGTTGTCTGCCAAGTTTGTGTCTTCTTTTCAGGTCAAAGAAAGAAAGATCATCACAATGGAAGAGTTACCAAAATTCAATTACAAGAAGAAAGAGAAGTGCTAGCTTTTAACCTCCAAAAGCGTTGCTGCAGCATGGGAGGGAGAACACGTTCCAGATTTTTCCAGACGGGTTTTTCCTGGTTTTCGTGTACGGCTCAGCAACATGGTATTAAAACATCAGGCTGATATCAACTTTGGTATGCGTGTTTAATATTTTAACATGTACAGTAGTTGTACGTTGCAAATCACGTATTAAATAGATGTACTCTAATTATCTTTTTAGTGGATTGATGATAAGATAAAGGCGTTTGGTAATCAACTTTTTCAAGAAACTGAGATTTTGTAAATAGTTTTGTTGAGAAAACGTATGTATTATACTTGTAGTTAATATAAAACAAAGGTTATGCTGAAAAGTATTGTGTAGTAACTATTTTATAGAACTTGACTAGAAACAAAACGCTCGTTGATGATTTTGATGCGTGTAAATAAAGTTGTTCTAATTTAGTTGTAAATTCCAAGAGCAGAATGCTATAAAAAATTGCAAATTGTCGAATGCTTTTCCGTTTAATTGTTGTCTAAGTCTTCTCTGACTAATTTAGTTTTGAAAAACTAAGAAAATTTGCGAAAAACCTCGTGAAACGCCACTCAAAGCTTCCTTGTTAAAGCTGCTTGCATAGCAAAAATGCTGGAAACTTCATTTAAATACCGGTATAAAACTGCTGAATCTGCTATATATGTCGTATATTACACCAAGTATCCAAGACATTTCCTGAATCAAAATGGCGTCGGTGTATTGCGAAACAAAGGCCCAATTTCCCTTATAGGGAAGAGGACAAGATGATGATGATGATGTATTGCGAAACATGTAAATTTACTGATTTTTCGAATATGAAATGCTCAAAAACTGCAGGTTTGTGGAGGTGAAAACAAGTGAATTTAGACTTTCTATAATTTATCCTAATTTTCTATCGTGTTTTCAAGTAGTGCCCGAAGGGGGGCAACGAAACTGAACGATAATCAGCCACAGAATACGGCCTATGAGTTTCAGACCATTGAATTAACAATGTTTAATCATGCATGAATGTTAATGATCTATTTGTTTTAACTAGCATATTATACAGGGTGTCCCAAAAAAAACGAAAACTATTGAAATCACTCATTGTTAAAATTTGAATGCCGTGTGCACGAATTTCAGCCCGTGGGGATTTAATGCAACTTATAAAATGCTAAATGCTTTGTGTTGCTAGAGAAAAGGGACATTTCGAAGGTCATGGTCTTGAGATGCACATTTAAATAATGTTATCCATATTTGTAAATTGTAAATACTGTTAATAAATATCATTTTTGCGAACAAGCAAATTTTACTGCATCATATGCATGCATAAAAATAAGTATGGTAAACATTCATACACCTGTGGGTCCCAACAGAGTGTTTAAGCATTCAAACTCTAACAATTGCATTGTTATGGGTGATTTCAATAGTTTTTGGTTTTTTTGGGACACCCTGTATAACTTTTATTTTCTTAGTTACTCCTATTGGCTTGATAATAGCGTGTGTTAGCGTTGAAACGTCGTCTCTTTAAACTTTAAATAAATGTTTTATCATTGTATCCTGAGATGATTCCAAGTCCATTTTTATCACAATTTTTCACAGTAAAATGCATAACAAAACCGCTTCTTATGTGTTTTCAATCTTTGCTCATATTCGATCGTGTTATTAAGAGAAGTTACGTCGTCGCCAGGTGGCGGACGTCGGTACGTAAATGTGACGTCGGTACGTAAAGACTGTAAAGGGTATACAACCTAGATAAACCTATCCCAGTCTATGATAATATAAAAGGCGAATAATTTGGTTATTTTAATTGGTAATTTATGTATCGTTCTCCGGGTGATCTGAGAATGAAAACTAGCAAATCATAAACCAGAACCTCGAAGAAAATCAGTTATCATTTCACATGATAACCAGGGCTTCAAATATGCAAGGAAATTTCCTTGCAATTGACAACCACAAAGGGGGAAGGGATCTGTGTTAATAGGATATACTAGAAAATCTTATCACAACCCGGTGTTTTATTAGATGGCATATTCTTAATCACTTGTTCGATTTTGGTGCAAGATACTGGGTTAAGCGAAAACTGGGGTAATAAAGAATCAATTGTGCACTCGGGTTGAGTGTATTCTATGGATTCCATTATTAAAACATAGTCATCTGCCAGTTTCTGTGCAGACTTAGCTGTTGTCTCTCCTAGACTCCTACCGATATAAAATGGTTATTAAATTCTTAATAGGTTTTGTATAGCATGGTTTACCGTTTGTTTTAGTAGGAATACATCTGCGAATAATTTTCCAAATACAACGTGGTGCGTTCTGATTTAATAAGATTTGTTCCTAAACATATTGTTGTTCTGCAACTCGTAATTCTTGTTTAACTTTGTTCTTAATATCTTTGAAAACAAGCCAGTCCCTGGGTTGCGAGGTTTGGCGACCTATCCTGTGCAATAAGTCCTTCTCTTTAATTATTTAATTATTTAATTATTTAATTATTTATTTAATTATTAATTATTTAATTTGATGTATTGCATCCGTTTAATTTGGTTTTTAGTTTGTGTGTTTATCATTATATATAGGGCCGCTGTAATTGGCTAAAGCTGTAGCGTGCACCTAGCCAATTCTGTTTAGATGTATGCGTGTGTGTTTTCCATAACTATATCTAGTATATGTATTTATATAAATGTCAGTATATTCATTAATTGGCGAAGATGAATAAATTCTAAATTCTAAATTCTAATGATTTTATTTCTTACGTAAAAAAGGCAAAGGTTTCGTTTTCATCTTAACGGACCTTATGGGAGCATGTTTATCCAATACACTAAGGAATAGGTCATTAAATGTATCAACCCTGTCCGACACATCATCAAATATCTCTACAGTATCCCACGGGACTGCAGCAATATCTTTCGCAAACTCCGTAACATTATAATCTCTATAGCTTCGCACTCTGCTAATGGTTGGGTTTGTTTTTGGAACTTTGAGACTAAGGCCTGTATTCAAAAAGCTCACTCACACTCACACTCAATGAGTTGCTACTCAACCTTAGTAAGGACGAGTGAGCACTTATCAGGTGTCAACTCACACTTGTCCGGTAGAAGACTACACTCACACTCCAAGCATTCAAAGACAATGCTCACCCTTAAGGGAAGTACTATTTTTGAGTGGAGTGTTAGTGAAGGGTATACCTCCCTTCAGACACACTCCAGCGAACAAACGTATAACAATATGGCGGATCGATGGCTACGAAGGTTAGAATTAGTGAACAATATCCCACGAAACGACTTAAATAGGAGCAAATTATATCATTTTGAGTATGACAACTATGATAATGATCAATTTCGGTCCCGATTCAGGTTAACAAAGTATGGATTTCGTGCACTCCTTGACCTAATCAGAGACAAGTTATTTGCACCTAATGAGAGAGGAAGACCTATTCCAGCCGATATACAACTTTTGTTGACTCTTCGATTTTATGCTACGGGAACGTTCCAAGTAGCTTGCGGCGACCTGTGTGGCATTTCGCAGCCATCAGCAAGTAGAATCATCAAACGTGTATCGGTTGCAATTGCCGGTTTAAAGAATCAATACATTTGTTTTCCTCCTGTCGATATGCTGAATGTTGTCAAATTAGATTTTTGGAGAATTTCTGAATTTCCAGGCGTTGTGGGAGCTATTGATTGTACGCACGTTAAAATACCAAGTCCTGGGGGAGTGAACGCGGAACATTTTAGGAATCGAAAAGGGTACTTTTCGATAAATGTGCAAGCTGTCTGTGGACCTAATTTAGGAATTCAGAACATTGTTGCCCGATGGCCAGGTAGTGTGCATGATGCAAGAATTTTTGACAACTGCATGTCGTCTTTGTGCTCAGTTTGAACGAGGTGACATAGACGGCATGTTGCTGGGTGACAGCGGTTATCCGTGCCGCCAATATCTCCTGACACCTCTTGCTGACCCGCAAACTCAACCAGAACGCCGAAACAATGTTGCACATATACGAACACGAAATACAGTAGAAAGAATGTTCGGCATATGGAAGAGATATCATAAATATCTTTCTTGTTTCATTTTTTTGATCTTGTATTTGGTCTCCGTTGTTGTTCGTCTGTTGTCTTCATTGCCTTTGTCACAGACGTCCAATATTCAAGTTCGGCGTCTAACACCTCCATTTTTCTTTTGTGTTGCATCAACAGATTGGCTTTTTGGAGTTCTAAGAGGTCCATTTCAGCTTCATGCTGTGATGTCTGCATTTTCAAACATTTTTCTTGCGCTGCTGATATTCTTGGCTTTGTTGTGCCTGAGTCCTTCAGAGCCGCCTCAACGATGATAGATGATTTTTGCTGTTGGTTCTGCGCATTTGTACTCGACGCCTGTGAATTATCACTTTCGTTATCTGTGTTGTCTGTAACGTATAAATACATTTCGACGGCTTATTTTAAAACACCGATCACATATTACAAGCATAATTTATTGTGCACTTCAATTACCTGCGACGTAATTATCGTCGTCAAACGAGTTGCTAAGGCTGTCTATTTGATTGGGAATAATTGCGGCTACGGCCGCATCCTCGTCTTCTTGTTGCACACACGATGGACCACCACCCGTCAATTTTGCACGTCTCTTCTCCTTCGCAAGATTCTTCTTGGCACGGGCCTTCACATTTTCCCAGCATTTCATTAACTGCTTCGAATCTCTTTTCGTAACACCAGATTGGGTATTAAATTCTTGTGCTAACTCTTCCCACGCGAGGGTTTTTTGTCTAATTGTCTTATAATCGTTCTTCTTATTTTCGATAACATCTTTGTGTTTTCCAACTAGTTCTATTAACAGAGTCTTTTCTAATTCTGAGTAAAACTGCCTAGGTTGCGACATCTTGTACTGCCTGGTTCTCACTAAATTGTGTGTGCTAATACACCAATAGTCAGCTATTTAAATTACGGAGGTCACAGACATTCGTCACATGTACAACACGAGCTATAGTTAGATTGAATAGGTTTAATTAACAAATCAGAGGCCTCGTGGGATTATATAAACATTATATTTTATTTCCTCGTTGCTGTACCGATGTATAAACCTTCAGTTAGAACTGCGAAATTGATGTTCCCATACGTCATTTACCCTCAATTGTACAATTGTCAACCTTAATTGAAATAGCTGTATTATCCTAATTGTCATTGTACAGTTCTACTTGGATAAGTCATACTCGAGTGCGCTTTATGAATACAAATCGACACGATTTTCCAATGGATGAGCGCACACTCACACAGTGTAACGTTGCACTCATACTCCACCCTCACTCACATTTCAACCATACTTGAGTCAACCTCACTACAGTCTGACTCAGGTGTGAGTGTGAGTGAGCTTTTTGAATACAGGCCTAAGTTGTGCTGTAATAATGTAATGATCGCTGATAGTTGACTTCACCACCCCGCTCCTGTTTACAATACTGGGATTAGAAACCAAGATCACATCAATTATAGATTGGAATAATGCAGTTACCCTTGTCGGTTCAGTAATTAACTGAGTTAGATTCATTGTTAAGCAGAGCGTGTTGAGTGCTTGTGCTTCAGGGCTATTTTCATTCATAATATTACAATTCAAATCACCACAAACCACGATGTCTTTATTATAACATAGCGCCCTGGTATATGTGGGCATAAAATACTGCTCTAAGCATGTTGATGGACAGCTGGGTGGCTTATATGCTACCCATATTAATAAAGACTTTAATTTCCTGTTTTGAACTTTAAACCAAAGTTGTTGAAATCCAGTTTCAGATGTTGCAGTCAATTGCCTAATAGCGTGTACCTTGAGACTATAGTATGAACATAAGCACAAACGCCCCCGCCAGCTTTTTGGACCAGAAACTGGTCCCTAACCGCTGCTAATCTTGTTGTTGTTGTTGTTGTTGTTGTTGTTGTTGTTCTTGTTCTTGTTCTTGTTCTTGTTCTTGTTCTTGTTCTTGTTCTTGTTCTTGTTCTTGTTCTTGTTCTTGTTCTTGTTCTTGTTGTTGTTAGGGGGCGACACTCTTTAAAAAAACCCTAAGGCTCTAGCATTACTTGTTTGATTGGAATGAACCTTGGCACAATTATTCTAAGCAATATTCCGCATCGTTTGACGGAGTTCGAATTTTTACTTTTGACCCTTGAAGCAAGTTACAGGCAATTGTTGATATATTTGCAGCAAATAATATATACATACCATTAATATTCAGCCAATATATAAGTAAACGGAAACTATTAGAAATACATTGTCCTCTCTATTGTTATAAATACAACGCACTTCAGAAATTAAACTCGGTTACGCAGTTCCTGGTCCACTATACAGTAGTACGATCGTACTTGTTTAAAGCGATCATGTCTAATAAGATTATAGCCTTCTATATGAACCTCAGCATTTGATACATTAGAGTTCAGCCAACTTTCTGACACGGCAAAGATGTTATATTGGTTATCAAAAATTAGCTGTTTAACCTGAACCATTGAGTTCTCTGTTTTTTAAGGAGCGTACGTTAAGATGGGCTATACAGGGTGTATCAAAAAAGTGTCCCAAATGTAAAATTTTCGTTTTTCATGATATTTTGCATAACTTGGCAAATTTTTGTGTTCCTAGAGATAGTTAAAACTTATCTGGTATACCTAGGTCAAGTTTGGTTTTTCATTAACAAAATTATGTTACCGGGGGGGTGGTTCCTTTCCACTGATGCTTGGAGGGCTTGCGCGCAAAAATGTAACGCTGAAATTAAGATATCATTTAGATGTCTAAAAGTAGGAAAGCTTTTTAATAAACTGTCAAAGTTTCAGAAAAAATAATGCATACTGGGAGCAACGCGCGACCCCTAAAGGTGACAAATATTTCATTGCGCGCAGTGGATTAAAAGCATCGTTGATTTTAGCGTGACCGATCTCATGCCAGGCTGGGCAAATGAATAAATTAAAGCGAGAAACTGAACACAAAAACAAAGCGATTTATTCGTGATGTTAATCCTCAGCATGTCCACCATTTCATTCTAAGCAAAATGCGGCTCGTCTGAGAATAGTAAACACTGAACAGCGAACCATTTGTTTGTCCATTCGCCTACATTTGCCGTTGGTAGCGTAAGCGATTTGCAAAAAAAAATTTCGAACGAAATGGAGAATTTGAGGCAGGAGAGACAAATGGTTCGCCGTTCGGCATTTACCATGCTCAGACGAGGTGCAGTTTGCTTAGAAAGAAATAGTCGAAATGTTGAGGATTAAAATCACGAATAAAAATCTTGTTATTAAATCGCTTCGTCTTTCTGTTCAGTTTCTCGCTTTAATTTATTCATTTGCCCATGCACCCTTGAAAGAGATCGGTCACGCTAAAATCAACGATGCACTTAATCTACTGCGCGCAATGAAATATTTATCAGCGGGTCGCGCGTTGCTCCCAGTATATGCATTATTTTTTCTGAAACTTTGACAGTTTATTAAAAAGCTTTTCTACTTTTAGACATCTAAATAATATCTCAATTTCAGCTTCACATTTTCGCGCGCAAGCCCTCTCAACATCAGTGGAAAGGAACCACCCCCCCGGTAACATAATTTTGTTTTTGAAAAACCAAACTTGGCCTAGGTATACCAGATAAGTCTTAACTATCTCTATAGGAACACAAAAATTGGCCAAATTCTGCAAAATATCCTAAAAAATGAAAATTTTACATTTGGGACACTTTTTTTGATGCACCCTGTAGTAGTGTCCTTTCCAGTACTTGGACGTAATACTTGTTTTCTCTTGTCTGCAGTGTTTGTTTGTTTGTTCTGCGTGTTTGAATATTAACTCTGCAGTTTATGCGACTAAATTTCTTGTGTTTTCTATGATCATTTCGAAAGGGTGATATAATTGTTGGAATAGCCATACAATTCGTAGCTACACAACTTCTAGGGGATAACAAATCAATCTGCTGTTTACGACTGTTGGTAAAATTATACATTGTAGACGTCGTGTTTATCGAGCATGACTGTCCTCGAGCATATGGCGTCTGGTCTAACTGAACGCTTCCGTTTAAAGTTTGAGGACCAGGGTTTGAAGAAACATCTACACATACCGTTAAGTCTTCTTTAAAGGGTTTCATACATAAGACCAAACACACTGATCCATGTTTTGTTTCTTTGACAACTGCAAATGCAACCTTGAATTTCGATTCAAAGCCGACTCGCTGTATGTTAACATGATATCGAAACGCGATATCGCTGTAAATTCCCGACACTAAGCCATCCACGACCAATCGTTTTAAATCCACAGAAGTAGGACTGTTACATTTAGTATTAGTTGATCCAAATGTACGAAAATTTGTAGATATAATAAAAATAATAAAAATTATGTATGCTGCCGACCGATGTCGCTCCGATGTCGCTGCTCGTTGACATCCACACGAGCTATATACGTAACAGACCATGGTCAGCAACAGCAAGCCGCAGGTCGAGCGCCACGAAATTATCAAGCACAGCAGGCCGAAATGCTGCCAGCGGCACAGCAAATTGGTATTCCCTACGCGGTTGCTGGAGGACAGAGGCGTCCTTACCACGCCATAGCTCATGAAAATACTGAGGCGCTTAACACGTTTCTGACTAGAGAATTGCCAGTTCTTTCTCAACAGATGCAACAAACAATGGACCTGATGAATTAACTGATTGGAAGACAGTGGAACATATATATTTTTATTTATCGTTTTATTTATTCTACGAAAATAACATATCACATAGTTTCAATTTAATAGACTCGGGAGCCGGCTTTATCAAGCCCGTTTAGCTTATAAAATGTCGATAATTCAAAATTAAATAACACTCTTAAATCTCTCTCCTGAATGAGTGCACTTCAATATTATGCACTGAATATGTAGTTGTAAACAATATCCTTGTGTTAAGGTTAAAAACATTTAGTTTGCTTGTTGAATAAAACGATAGACTTCTATTTTCAACAACTATTTAAGCTAAACGGGCCTGATGCAACCGGCCCCAGGTTATAAATTTTGAGTGAAGCATAGTTACGTTACCTTGATACTAACTGAAGCAAAAGTACAGTTAAAAAGTGCTGCATAAACTACTAAAACGTATAATTACTCCGGCATCGGCGACGAAGTTGAAAATTCGCCCCGGTTTTTTTTTGTTTATGTTTTTTTTTTCTTTTTCGTCGTCGCAAGTCAGAAATGGCGCGAATTATTCTAGTATCTAAAACGTGTGTATGACCGTATTTACCTACGTCTCAGTCTTATCTCCCAAGAGTTGTGGTGCACAGCTTTGGCTAATTTTCCAATGCGCGATTCGATTTCGCTCGCATGATACGGCAATTCCTCCAAGAGGAACAAATAAACCGTTGTTTTCATGCTGTTCGATTTAGATTGAATTGGGGTAAAAATATATTTAATACATATAGATTCCGGTCCTATTTTAATAACATCGCTGCTATTTCGCCGTTTAACAAGATGATGTGGTCGTGCATGGGCGCGTTGACACGTCGCGTAGTTTGCAGATGCAGGATCGAAGATTTAATATAACTATATAAGCGGGAATTCTACTACGTCATCAGCCTACGGTCGTTACGGAGTTGTACGGAATTGATACGAGATAGTGCCGACTACTCGCCGAGAACCAATTGTGCTTCGCTTCCCGCCGAAACCAGACGTGTGCTTTTGTATTCTACAAAATTCGCTTATTTGTAAACTTTTTAAAAAGCAAATCCATTCCATCGTTGGACAATTATTTAGGAAACAGAAGAGACAGGATCCCCATTGGATGATTCAGGCATCCTTGAAGATAAGTACACATTATATTGTCACCAATTGTTCCCTTTTCTTAGGAAATCGCTCAAGTGAGACAACGCACTCACAGAGATAAACAAGATGTCTGTTG